CTTTGAAGTAACATTTTTATATTATTTGGGTATATACCTAGAGTGAAATTGTGGATAGTATAGTACATTTATTTTATGTTATGTTATTTTTTTAAAAAATTTACTTATTTATGCATACAAGAACTGGGGTACAGGCCAGAGGTGTGTGTGGGGGGGTGTGAGGATTCACCAGAGACAGAGTGGGGAGCAGAACAGTCAGACTGATTGAAATACACTGCTGAGGGGAGCCGCGGGTGAGTCAGGATAGGAGAGGTCTGCTGCACCATGTGTGTTGCTCCCTGGCTGGGAATCGAAATTGTGCTGCAGAGGATGTGGATAGCTTCACAGTGCTGTGCTTAACTCCTTGTGCCACCAGGGAGGCCCTATATTTATTTTAATATTTTGATAAGCCTCCATATGTTTTACATCAGGGTTAGCCCAGTCTACTTTTCTACCAACAGTGTGCCAGGGTTCTTTTTCTCCACAGCCCTCCCAGCACTTGTTGTTTCTGTTTTTTTTGTTTTTTGGGTTTTGGTTTTGGTTTTGGTTTTTTAATATATGGGACATTCCAGCAGAGGTGAAGTGGCATTTCAGTGTGTGGGTATATGTTTGTGTGTGTGTGATATGTTATGGGAAATTTACATTTCTACCCAAAGCTAGAATAAAACTTTGGATTCTATGTACAGATAATCTTATAGTGACTTTTTAGTCTCAAATGTTATTTAAATTAAAAGCAAACTAACAGATAAAGTTTTGTTTGTAGGAAAAGACAGCACAAACTGCCTTCCCATGATAATGGTTTTCTTTGTTTTTAATTCATTTTTCCCTACCAACATCCCATATGTCCCCTTGTCCCTTTTCCTGTAACTATCCCATTAACCTCAAAGTCTTCAGCATATTTGTTGATGTTCAGTAGTTCTTGAAAGTGTTTTATGTTGTCAGATTGTCTGTTATATGAATGTCCAATCATCCTCTCTTGTTCTACTGCATATATTTTTTCCAAATTCCCTTCATTTTGTTGAAAATGCATTTCATCTTTCCTGGTTACTGACTATGTAACATTCCACGGTATGTCTATACCACATCTTTTTCACCCATTCACCCATTGAAGGAAAATTACTGTAGTCACTGCTATAATAAAAATATTGTAAAAACATATGATTTTATTATTCTTTTACATCCTTTGGATATATGCTCACGAGTGGTAATTTTGGGTCAGTTGATATTTCCATTTTTAATTTATTTAGGTAAATCCAGATTATTTTCCATAGTGGTTTTGTAACAGGGTGGTGTCCAAGAAAAGGGGAGGTTCCAGGTTCCCTGTCCCACCCAAGAGAGAGTGGAGCTGAGCAGGGAGGAGAAGCTGGAGAGGAAACTGGAGAAGGAAGGAAGCAGGATGAGAGCCAGAAGGAGACCTGGAGGAGGTACATAGAGCAGAGACCATGTGAAGAAGCTGCACTTGCATTTGATCCTGGACTGGTTGAAACAGATGTGGGTGAGAGACCCAAGGGAAGGTTAACAATGGCAGCTTTTCTCTTAATTTTGATTTTGCTCTTTCTCTCCCAGACTTGTCTGGCTATTTCCAACCCTTTTCTATGGGTTTCCGCTAAAGGTGCTTTTGACTTGGGCAGGCTTTTGGGCCTTGCTCTGGGCCAATCCTGTTTGGATGGACTTTTACCCATGAGGAGATAGGTAACTTTGGGTGCTTGATTTAAAAACTATATTCGGCAGCACTCCCTCTGCCCACCTGTGACTATGCTGGTGCTTCTTTTCACCAACTTTCTCCCTCCGCAGGGCAGGAGCTTCCTGCCTGCCCGTGACCTGTACCTGCTGGGGCTTCTCCTCACTGACCTCCCTCAGCAAAGGCCACTCTCCTCAAAGCTGCCCACCTCTGCAACCATGCAGGCCTCTCTCAGCAAACCTGTTCCTTCAGGGCCGCTCTTCCTGCCCGCTTGTGTCTATGCAAGTGCCCTTTATTCTTCTGTCCCTTTCCCTAATAAAACTGTTCTTTAAATATATAGAAAAGTAAAAACTATATTATTTGCCTTTTCTGTATTGTTCACTAATTGTATTAAAGTTCCTTTCCATTAAAGGTCTTATGGCAAAAACTATTTAGAGCGGGCAGGTTTGGGGGTTCTGGGGTGCCTCTCTCCCTGCCCTGTAACAGTTTTACCTACAGAATCCCACCAACAGTGTACTAGGTTTCCTTTTTCTCCACATCCTCTTCAACACTAGCTATTGGTAGCCTTTTTGACATGTGCCAGTTTCACAGGTATGAGTTGGTATCTCATTGTGGTTTTCATTTGCATCTCTCTTATTAAGAGTGATGATGAACACTTTTCATATGCCTTTTGACCTTCTGTATATCCTCTTTAGTGAATCATTTGTTCATATCTGTTGCCCATTTCTTAATTGGGTTATTTGTTTTTTTTGTTGTTGTATTTTATTAGTTTTTTTAAATATATCTTTGAAATTAATCTCGTATTAGTTTATATTGTATAAATATTTTTCCTGATCAGTAGGGTGTATATTTAATCATCCTGTATTTTCTTTTACTGTATAAAAGCTTTGTAACTTGAGGTGATCCCAACTGCTTATTTTGTTTTTAATCTCTTGCCAGGGGGTATGAGTCACCAAAATACCTTTCTTGTTGATATTGTAGAATGGATAGCCAAAGTTGTCTTTTACATGTTTTATTGTTGCAGGTCTGATATCTACATCTTTAATGCATTTGGAACTTATTTTTGCATATGGTTAATAATTAATCCAATTTATTTTTCTGTGTGCAGCTTCCCTATTTTCCCAGCACCATTTATTGAAGGGACTTTTCTCACATTTTATGATCATGGATATTTTATCATAGATTAATGCTTGTATATTTAGTGTGTATTATTTATGTACTTTTGATTTGTTCCATTGGTACATGTATCTATTTTTATACTAAAACATTGTTTTTAACACTGTCAGTTTATAGTAAAGTTTGAAGTCAGACATTTTTCTGACTTCTTTGTTTCTCTCCTTTTTTAAGTTTGCTTTTGCAGTTTGGGGTCTTTTGTGGTTCCATGTAAACTTCATTAATTTTTGTTGTGTTTCTTTGAAAAATATTGGTAGGATTTTGAAGTGGATTGCATTAAATTTGCAAATCATTTTAGACAAGATAGTCAATTTGATTGCATTGATTCTGCCCCCTCCTGTGTACAGGATATCTTTCTGCTTCCCTATGTCACTACATAAGTCCTATAATAACATTTTGTAATTCTCATTGTATAGGACCTTTCTTTCCTTTGTAGGTTGATTCCAAGGTTTTTAATTCATTTTGAAAAAGATGCTGAAATCCTCAATAAAATCTTAGCAAACTGAATCCAACAATGCACCAAAAGGATTATACACCATGACCAAGTGGGATTTATTCCAGGGACACAAGATAGGTTCAACATCCAAAAATCATTTGATGTGATTCACCTCATCAACATAAAGAAAAATAAAAACCATATGATCATATCAATGGATGCTGAGGAAGCATTTGATAAAGTTCAATACCCATTTATGATAAAGGACCTAGAAAAACTCAAGATAAAAGAAATATTTTAACATAATAAAGGCCATAGATGACAAACCCACAGCTGACATCATTCTTAATGGTGAAAAACTCAAATCATACCCATTAAGATCTGAAACAAGACAAGATTGACCATTCTTACTGTTGGGGGGAAACTTATGTTCTGAATGAACTTCACCCACTGATGTTTTATGGATTCCACCCCACCTCCAGGCCAAAGAGATCCCAGGTGTCGAAGACTACAACTCCCATGATGCCACAAATCTGCCATGCCCCTTAACTTTCTGAAGGAGGGATTTCTGGGAGCTAAGGGTGGTGTTAAGCAGTCATGCTTGGTATAAAATCAGAGAGACATGTGGACCTTTGCTCTCTTGTTTTTGCCTTCAGCGTGCTCTTGGGGCTCCAACTCAGTGTTACCGGTAGGATGCATTGACCAATTAATCTCTCTCTCTCTCTCTCTCTCTCTCTCTCTCTCTCTCTCTCTCTCTCTCTCCCCGCTATTTTCATTTCCTTTGTAAATAAACCTTTTATTGACTTTTTCTGTGTGTGCCTGCACTTGGGTCTTGTTCTAAGTTTTGTTTTTTTTTTAAGTGTGCAGGTGGGGACTCACACCGAACCCATACCATTTCCTTTGGGGTTGCCCTATAACATCACTGCTACTTTTCAATATAATACTGGAAGTTCCAGATGGAGCAATAGGTAAGAGAAAGGCATAAAAGAAATCCAAATTGGGAAAAAAGAAGTAAAACTCTCATTATTTGCAGATGATATGATAATGTATAAAGAGAACCCTAAAAAATCTGCAGAACCCTAAAAAATCTGCAGAAAAATTAATTGAAATAGTTAGTAAAGTAGCAGATTACAAAACCAATACACAAAAATCAGTAGTCTTCCTATATGCAGTCAGTCCATGGAGGACGAAATTTAGAAAACCATCTCATTTATAGTTGTACCCATCCAAAATGAAATAACTACAAAGGAGGGGAAAGAACTATCCAAGGAAAAATACAAAACATGATTAAAAGAAATAGAAGAAGATACAAATGGAAAGTTATTCCCTGCTCAACATTATCAAAATGGTCATTCTGCCAAAACAATTTACTGATTCAATGCAATTCCAATAAAAATATCAATGGCATTCTTCAAAGAAATGGAATAAGTTTTGATGGAACTCATATGGAATCACAAAAACACCCAAATAACCAAATTTGTAAACAGAGTTATTTTCTTAATTTATTTTGCTACTTGAATATTTGTATATTAAAAAGCTGTGGGCTTTTGTTTACTGATTTTGTAGTGTTCGTGTAGTCATTTGTTGTTTTTTGTAACTTTTTGAATAAATCTTTAGTATCTTTTATATATAATATCATATGTCTGCAAATAGATATAGTTTCAGTTCTTGTTTCCTGGCTTGGATTTGTAACAGTGTCAGTTCCCTGCTCCATAAAGAAGAGTAGAGCTGGGCAGGGAGGTGAAGCTAGTAATGGTAACAGTATAATAACCATAGAAAGGGAAAATTTCAAGTTCCCTGCTCCACTCTAAGGAAGGATGGAGTGGAGGGGTGAGAAGAAGTGAGAAGGAAGAAGACTTGGAGGAGGGACATGGAGCAGAGAGACATATAAAGAAGCTGCATTTGCTTCTTGGCCTTGGACTGCTATCAGAGACTTGGAGGGTGCGGAAGGAGACCCTTGAAACAGACGTGAGTAAGAGACCAGTGGGGAGGCTGAAAATGGCAGACTTCATCTTGATTTTGATTTTGCCCTTTTCCTGCCAGACTTGTCTGGCCTCTTCTACCCCTTTCCTTGGTCCCCATCAGAAGGTGCCTTACACTTGTGGCAAGCTTTTGGACTGTAGCTGCCCTGCTTTGGGTCAACCCTTTCAGGCTGGGCACTTATCCACATGATTAACCTTGAGTGCTTGTTTGGAAACTCTATTCTTTTTATTTTTTCTATTGTATACCAATTGTATCAAAGTTCTTTTCTATTGAAGGTTTTATGTACTAGAGTATGTTTTGTCTTGCTGTGGCAGATGGCAGAACCTATTTAGAGCAGGCAGGTTGGGATCCTGTGGTGCCCCTCATTCTACCTGCTAACAGGTTCTCTTTATATCTTGTGTTTGTTGAAAAGTTCTTGCCAAAACTGCTAACACTAAATTAATGGAAATGGTGACAATGGTATCCTTATCTTATATTTGATGTTATATGGATCATCGTGGGTTTGATTTTCATTTCCCAAATAAGCTATGACGGGCATTTTTTCATGTACCTGTTGGGCATGAGTAGGTAAACAAAAGCACGTTGGAGCTAATAAGCAAGTTCAAGAAAGTTGCAGAATAAAAAATCAACTTCCAAAAATCAATTTATTTCTAGCACAAAAGCAATCTATACATGCCATTAAGAAAAAAAATTCCTTACAATTGCAACAAAAGAATAAAATAATGAGGAATAAATTTAACCAAAAAAGTATGACTTTTATACTGAAAATTTTAAATGTCATCGAAAGATCATTAGAAAAGATGTATATAAATGGAAAGTCCATGTTCATGGATCATAAAAATATTGTTAAGATGACAATATACTCCAAGTTGATCACAAAGAGAATTTAATCCCTTTCAAAATTCCATATTCCACTTTTTTTTATAGAATTGTCCAAATTAATCCAAAAATTCACTTGGATATATAAGAAATACAGCACATCTAAACAATCTTAGAAAGGAGAAAGTGGGAGGATTTATATTTCCTTATTTCAAAATTTATTACACTTCTGTAGTAATCAAAACTTTGTGGTTACCGGCATATGGATAGATAATACAGATGAGAGGAGTACAGAATTGGAAGTCCAGAAATAAATCCATGCAGTCAATTGTTTTTCTTTCTTTTTTTTTTTTTCTTTTTAAGATTTATTTATTTATTTATAGAAGCACTGGGTACAGTCAGAAGCACGGGAGGGAGAGAGAATTCACCAGAGCCAGAGCAGGGAGCAGAGCAGGCAGAAGGACTGAAGTACACTGCTGAGGGGAGCAGCGGGCAGCAGGAGAGGACTGTGCGCCATGTGGGACCCTCCTCTGGTGGCCAGGGAGCAGCCGGGAATCGAACCAGGGCTGCAGAGGCTGTGGGGCAGCTTCGCAACCCAGAGCTCCCAGTCAATTGTTTTTCAACAAGGTCCCAAGAGATTTCAAAAGGGAACAATCCTTTCCACAAATGTTGCTGGGACAAGTGGCTAAGGACATGCAAAAAAATTAATTGGGGACCACCCTAGTGGTGCAGGCAGTTGAGTGGAGTGCTGTGACGCTGTCTGCAGCCTCTGCAGTGCAGGGTCGATCCCTGCCAGCTGCAGAGATACCCACATGGCGAGGCAGACCTCTTCTGTGTCACCTGCTGCTACCCTCAGCAGTGTATTTCAGTCAGTCTGCCTGTTCTGTTCCCTGCTTTGTCTCTGGTGAATCCTCTCACCCTCCCGCACATCTGGCCTAAAGCCCGGTTCTTGTATGCATAAATAAAATAAATATTAAAAAAAAAAGAATTAATTGGATTCCCTACCTCATTCCATATAAAAAAAAACCAACATAAAATGGATCATAGACCTAAATATAAGAGCTGAAACTATAAGATCTTTAGGAAAAACCATATGTGATAACTTTTTAATGACACTGTATTAAGCAGTATTTCTTAGACGTGACACCAAAAGTACAAATAACCAAGAAAAAAATATATAAATCATCAAAATAAAAAGTTTTGTACATCAAAAGATATTATGAAAAATGAAAATATAGCTCAGAAAAAGGGAGAAAATATTTGAAAAATCATATCTGGCAAGGTACAATATTCAGAATATTGAAAAAAGTTTGACAGCTGAGCAATCTATAGACAACACAGTTTAAAAATAAGCAAAGAATTTGTATATACATTCTCTAAAGATTTACAGAGAGTCAATAATCACATGAGAAGATGCTCCCTATCATTAGACATCCGTGAAATGCAAGTCAAAACCATAATGAGATATCACTTCACACCTGCTAGAATGACTATAAGTTTTATCAAGGACATGGAGATATTGGAAACTTCTTATATTCCTGTGAATATGTGAAATAGAGAAGCAAATTTGGAAACCAGTTTGGCAGTTTTTCAATGAATTATACATAGAGAAATCCATGCTTAGATATATATCCAGAAAAGTTAAAACATAGTCACACAAAAATTTGAACCTGATGTTCACAGTAGCATTATCCATGCTAAGTAAAAATTGAAACCAACCCATCAATTGAGAAATATGATTAAACAGAACATAGTATATTCACACAATGGATAAAGTAATAAAAAGGAACAAAGAACTGGTATATGCTACAATGTAGATGAATCTCGAAAATATTATGCTATTATTATGTATTGCTCTCTATGATTCTATTTATATGAAATGCAGAATATGTAAATCTATGGAGACATAAAGTAGCTGGTGTTTGCCAGGACCTTAGATTGGGGGGAGAAAGAGTAGTGGCTTATAAGTATGGATTTCTCTTGAGGATGATACAAATGATCTGGAATTAGATAGTAGTGATGGTTGCAGAACTTTTTAATATGCTAGAAATTATTGAATTGTGCTCTCTATGTGAGTGAATTTTATGGTATATGAATTTTATCACGAGAAAATAAGGAACTAGGATAAAAACAATGAACAAATCATTAAAATATCTTATTGCATTGGTTATGCCAGCTAACTAGCATTCTGCAGTGACTCTCAGATTTTTTTTTAATTTGTTTTATCTTTAGAGTTTTTCCTTTAAACATGCTTTGTATCATAGTCCCATAAAAGTAGAACAACAATTGTTGGAGAGAGAGACTCAAAACTGCTCTTGCCCTTCCCCTTACTTTGTAGTTCCAGCAAGTATAATCAAAACTACATGGGCATGTGCGTGAATGGAATTTGAATCTTAAATCTGCAGCTCACATGAACTGAGTCTGGGCAAGTTGCTGAAGCTCTCTGAGCAGTTTTCCATAATGTTGTGACGATTAAATGAGATGAAGTATATGAAGGCCTTGGTTCACAGTAAATGCTCTGCCAATGCCCTGACTGTACATTCATTAGGTATTTCCAGAAAGGCTTCAGCATTTTCTTACTCTATCAAAAAGTAGACAACAGAACTGACTTGTTATGGCAGAGCAAATGGACTAGGTCAGTGGGCGAGAGGCTAGACCTCTTCAGGGTCTTTACTACCTTGCTGTTGTTAGCCTGAGGAGAAATTCCTTTCCTTCTCCCTCCCATCATTTGCAGAGAAAAGTAGTACTCAGTAGATGACCACATTCTAGAACATCTCCAGGCTTGTGACCCTACAAAAGTCTGTCCTGCTCTCTCTGTGTCCCATTTCTAGGGACCTCAGCCTTCCTCCAAAGAGCCTGTTAAAGTTAGTAAGGCAAAGATGTTACCTCACGTGGAAAATTGTCCTATCTTAACCTGAAAAGATGAGGACATCCCACTCTGACTCATTGTCTGACTTCCTTTAATATGTGTCTTTGGAAATATTTCCATGAGGTAAGAGTGGGAACCAGGATTGCGCATACTTTGGGAAAGTTCAGTTGCTCTCCCTTCTCTTCCACCCAACCCCCACCCCTAACTGTACTTTCCATTTTCTCTCTCTTCCTCAGCGCTCTCATCCTCCCAATGAGGTAAGTTGAGGCCAGTAATGCAATGAACATTGCTCTCATTTCTTTTCACTCGCTCATTAAGTTTCCTGGATGAAGTTCCAGAAAACTCAGTGAGAGTCATCAGAATAGCAAACACACCTCTGTCCTCAGGCCTGCCTCTAGCTTGGGTGGAGAGAGTTCCCCCTGTGATATAGCTCAGTGCTGCAGGACTGCAGTGGGGCTTGGAGTCAGATCTCATAGTATTACCTCCTTTATAAATGGAGGCAACAGGGTCCTTCTTGTGGTGCTACCATGTGGATGAGATGAAGCAAGCATGTACAGATCTTGGCACAAAACACCAGTGCATTGGCCTGACATTTTCTGGTCATGGAATGGTGCTTCACTAGAAATCAAAGAGTCTATTTGTTCTGTTGGTTGGCTGTGTTCCCTTGAGGGCAGAAACTTGCTTATCATATCAACCTCTATCCCCAACACCTAAAAAGTGCCTTGCCCAATGTAGGTGTTATATTAATATGAATGAATGAAATAAATATTAGTTGAATGATCAATTAATCTCTCCCTCATTGCCTAAAAGGATGTCCACATACTTAGAGTTCAGTGTTTGATGAATCACCTTTAATTTTGAGCTGGTAGGTGGTTGACTTACCCTTTCCTAAAACGGTGGCTTGGTGACCTTTGGTTCCTCTGAACTTGTGATGTTCTGAGTTGTAAAAGAGGAACGCTGATCTTTAGTTCAGAAAAAATGGGGATTGAATCCTGGACTTTTTGCTTACAACAGATCTATTTGGGCATAGAGTCAAGTTCTAGGCCAAGCATTTTATAGATAATGCATTGTCTTATTTTATCTTAACATCCACACCATGTGTCACAAACTATAATCATTCCCATTTTGCAGACACAAAAGTAAAGACTTGGAGGGATTAGCATCTAGTTCAAAGGCATAGATCAAGTTAGTGGCAGAGCCAAGTGTAAATCCAGATTGAATACCAGATTCCTCTTCATTGACCATCTCAGCTATTTCAAACTATGTGAGACCAGTTACTAAATCTTCACTCCTCTAC